CTATGAATCTTAAATGATAATGAATTATCTAAAACAAAAAAACTTTATTTAATGCAAACTAAGCCATAAATTAATAAATATTTGATGAATTTGATGGCCATCAACTAGGAATGTTTGTGTTTGGCTTGGTAACAAAAGAGCCCCATAAGAATAGGAGTTTTCAACTCATTATCAAACATGAATTGGCTCAATAGATAGCAAATTAAATCGAACGGGCCACTAGCTCACTCATATTTGACTCGTTTGCCCCACTAGTATGTTGCATTCATACATCATGAACACTATCCCACTTTATGCATCACAAGTAATGAATATTGGTTTGAGGTCCAATTAATGAACCAAAATATAATTCCATTTTCTATGCCTAAACTTATCTTATCCATCTTTTTCCTGTAGAATGAAGCTTTTTTTGAAACACTTAGTAACATTGCCTAACTAGACTTTGACAAAGATGTACAGACACAAGCATGGGGAAATGGGCACAACAACTCCCTCTATCTATCTCTCTCTTAATATAATTGATGGTCACTGACTAAAATATTTGTGTTCAACTTATATTAACTCAATAATAAATGGGAGAACACAAACAAAATTTATCACTTTGTTAACAAACATGAGCACATGTGTTCAGCTCGATAGTTGTTGAGCCACGTCAAACATAGCCCTCGCTCATTCATGCTCGTCTTGTTTATGCCCCTAGATGTTGCATCCTTGTATTACAAGCATGTACTCTTAAATATATCCCGCAGGCCATTGAGTGATAAATTAAGCCTTCATTGAGATAAACCATTTTATCCATCACAAGCAATGAAAAATGGCTTGATGTCAAATCTGAGAACCAAAATAAATAGTGATTTTCCACCCCCAAACATACATTACCTCTTTTTATGTTGCATGAAGTATTTCAATATCCTTTTTATGGAACAGGAACCTCAAGATTTGGAACACTCAGCAGCTCTACCTAACTAACGATGTGCATACACAAGCATGGCAACATGGAAATGTAAAATATTGTAAGCATGACAATTCTACATCAAATGTGAACACCAAGTTGAATACCAAACATAAGATGCATGCAATTTATATTATTATCAATTTAAAAAAAGCTGTAGGTAAAATATGCCGAACACATATTCGTGATTTATTAAGAACTCACTAAACAGTGTTTAACAAATGTTTATGAAATATTTAATTTAGAAAAAAAAAGAATTAGTTAAAACATAAGACATGTGAACATTGGGTTGAATATTAAACATAAAATGTATGCAATTTATATTATTAAAAATTCTAAAAAATGTAAGGTAAAATATATATCCAGCACATATTCATGATTTATTAATAGTTCACTAAAAGGTGTTCAAGAGATGTATATGAAATTTTGAATTTAAAAAAAGAGAAGTAATTAAAAAATAGGACATGTCAATGGTGTGATCAACATAGCATTCAAATCCTCGACGTGATGTACAACATGATGCAAAAACCCTCTATAAGTGTTCAAGCTTAATAGGCTATTAGAAACACTATCAGCATACTACTGATCATGAAATGTTAAGTTTTTCTATAAATAGGATTTTTCTATCCTACTAAAATAGATGGAGATAAAAGTAGCATATAACTAGGAAAAAGAGAATTAAAACATCCATCAGTAGTTGCATGCTTCAAGAAGCAATAACTTATGAATTTGACAAGATAAATGTCGATGGAAAGTTACACGTGAACCAATATGATGGTAAAATAATTTCAGCTTGGGCAAAAATGTTGTCAAGAACAACCTGGTAGCATAACTGCTATGCAACGGGCTAAAAGAATGAATGCAAAATTAGTAAAAGAATATGCATGGGTGTTACTGCAACCAATCGTGAATGCTAAATATGTTTTGCATGAAACTGGTGCAATTTAGTTGTGAAATAAAACTTGCACCTACCAAAACCACATAAAACTAATCTACACTTGAAAATGATTAGCAATGAAAATTAAGGAAATATATCAAGACTAATACTTATTGCCTTTTAAATTTCTTATAAGACACTTGTGACAACTTTTCTACATTAAACAAAGACAACATCAAGCATTTATCCCACTAGTGGGATCAGCTACATGAATCTTTTTCTAAATTGTGTCCTATTTAAAGTCAAATTCTTATTTAAATCTAATAAATAAAGGTTATTTCTAATACTTTCTAACCAAGTCTTTTTAGGCTTACCTCTAACTTTCTTAATATAGGTCAGATCTAATACATTTACTCTCCTAACCGGGTCATCGGAAGGCAACGTTTTATGTGGCCAAACCATCTAAGGCGACTCTCTCTAATCTTATCTACCACTAGAACTGCTCCAACTTTTTCACACACGCACACACACACACACACACACACACACATATATACATATATATATATATATATATATATGTTTCACATTATGCTTCTAAATGTAAAGCCACTCATCCACCTGAGCGTCCTCATCTCAGCAACACTTTAGTTTATGCTTATCTTTTATTGGACAACATCCTACACCATAAAGCATTGCAGGTCATACTACCATCTTATATAATTTTCTCTTAAGTTTGAGGGGTACTCTTCTATCACACAATAGAACCAAAGTTTTTCTCCACTTCAACCATCCAACATGAATTCTACTAATAATCTCCTAATCTATTTCACCATCACTTTCAACAATGGACCAAAGATATCTAAAACGTGTACTCTTTTTAATAACTTGATCGCCCAAAATTACAATCCACCTACTAGATCTATTACTATTAAAATTATACTTCATGTATTCAGTTTTAGATCTACTAAAATGAATACCTTTAGACTCCAAAGTTGACCTCCATAATTTAAGTTTTCCTTCATCTCCCTCTCTAGTCATATCAACAAGAAGAATATCATCGACAAAGAGCATACAACAAGGTGCAACCTCTTGCAAATCTCTAGTAAGAACATCCATGACTAGAGCAAAAAGATATGGGCTTAAAGCTGATCCTTGATGTAATCCAACTGAAATAAGAAATAACTTGGTCAAACAACCTTCTATTTGAACACAAGTAACAATTCTTGCATGCATATCCTAATGACTTGAATATAAGCATTATTAACTCTTTTCTTTTCTAGAACTCTCCAGAGCACTTCTCTTGAAACTTTATCATATATTTTCTCTAAATCAATAAATATTATATGTAGATCCTCCTTATTCTTTCTATACTTCTTCATCAAATCTCTTAATAAATGTATAACCAATGTTTAAAATTGCGTATTCGGGTATTGAGGCCTTTTTCATTCGTGAGGCGAGGCGTAAGCCTCAAGGCATTTTGAGGCGTAAGCCTCAAAATCAAAAGATTGCGTAAACATAAAGTGATAAATTTGTTATATACTAATGAGTGAATAATATAAAACATAAAAAAGCATAAGATATGAAGTGAAATCAAAAAATCTCAATAATAAGACAACATGAAATATAATTCAACTCAAAATTCTATCTTTCCGAAATCACAATATTCTTTTCATTAATATATAATTCCGATTTCCAAAAATAAATAACAATGACATATCACATGAACTCATAAGTCATCAGCACTGTCATCACTAAGGGGTTCTTCATTTGAATCATCATTAATTATGGTGAACTTCTCTCTCCCCTTCCTCCTCCCCTATAGAGTCCAATGTCGGGCATTTATTTCAAGAGGCATAAGCCTCATGCCAGTGAGGCGAGGCGGGCCTCAAGGCGGGAATCAACCAAGTTGAGGCGCAAGCCTCATAAAAAAAACTCGATGCGTAAGCATCGAGACGTTTTTTACTGGAATTGCGCAAAGGCGGGCCTCAAGGCGAGCCTCATATTGCGCAATTTTAAACCATGTGTATAACTTACATAGTAGATCTATTCGGCATGAATTCAAATTGATTTTGAGAAACATTGGTATTACTTCATAGCCTATGCTCAATTACTTTCCCTCATAGTTTCAATGTATGACACATTAATTTAATTCTTCTATAACTCGCACACTCTTTTGCATCACCTTTATTTTTAAAAATAGAATAAAAACACTACTCCACTCATCTGGTACCTTTATAGTCTTTAAAATAATATTAAAAAGTTTAGTAAGCTAATAAATTCATTCATCTCCAAAGCATGTCCACACCTCTATTAGAATATCATCAAGTTGGACTGCCTTTTTGCATGTTATTTTTTTTAAGTTTCTCTAACTTCCATTTTACTAATACGACGATAAAAAAAACTCTAATTCAATTAGAGTGCTGAGATCAATGCAGTCAATCGTATTCTCATAATCTTCATTGCCAATTTTTCTAATTTAAAAAAAAAAAAACATTCTAAATCCAATGACTTGCTTGTAGCCTTTTACTGTGATTCCTTGAAGTTTATACTTCCAAGAATATCATGTTTTTTTGTAAATGGATAAGATCATGCATAATTCATCATGGATAGGAAGCAATAATTTGGGCCGGACAAAAATCCTGCAACGTAGGTCAGTATTTGCTTTATCTTGCTTCTATTGCTACTTAAGATTACATTTGTGAAGATAAATAAAATCAGACGAGACAATATGAGCAGTCAAGTGTGGAAAATAATGGCATCACCAATAATAAAACAACTAATTTGCCAAATGTTGATCCTTAGACATAGATTAAATCTCTTTAATCCCTCCGCAATTTATTCCAATGCTATTTAATGTTCAATCATGCATATTTTAAAATTTAACATACCTAACATCTTTTTAGGTCATGTGCATCGAAAAAGTTATCATGGTAGTCAATCAATATCTTTGCCATAGCAGTAAAAATCATATACAAAATCATTTGCTTGCTTTATAAATTTTTTAAATTAATTTTCTTAGAGAAAAAACCGCTTTCATAATAAATCTTCCAAAGATAAATTCAAATGGATTCTCCTATACCAACATGATTGTTCTAAATACATTTTTTCTTTGCAATCCCAATAATTTAAAAGCACGACTACATAATTTCAAATCCAAGTATTAAGTACCTTCAGACTCTCTACAACACCGGGAACCACCTCATGCTCAAGCCCAGAGTACTCCCCCTCGGTGTTCTCTCTAATCACAACAATATCAACGTTCTCGTGCCGAGTAGGCAACCCAGGGAGATTGAAACAGTTAACCAGCGAAGCGTAGAGGTCGAGCTCTTTCCTTAGCTGCACATTCAGCGAGCTCACACCACCCCCTACTGGCGTAGCCAGGCCCCCCTTGAGACAAACCTTGTTCCTTCGAATCGAATCGATCACCTCCTGCGGCACTGACGTCATGTCCCCATGGACCTCATAGGTCTCGAAGTACAAGGGCGCGTGCATCGCCTCCATGATCTGCTGCACGGCTCCAGTGACTAAGGGACCGATTCCATCGCCGGGAATCAACGTCACTGCCCTAGGCGCACCGTCGCCGGGCCGTGGCATGTATGTCACGGACCGCCGGTTCTCGTTGAACACTGATCCAAACCGTGAAGGAGAGAAACCACTGGCGTATCGAAGGTATTGTCCAAAACGAGAAATAGATCTAAATGCCATTGCTAGATTTTAGCTCCTGAAGAAGCGGCCAGCAGTTCTTCACAAAGAAAGCATTGTCCAGAGAAGAAATAGGGTTTTGTAATTGGACAAATTTTTGAAGCAAGCATAATACACATTTAATCTAAGCGAAATTTTTAAATGGAGCATTTCTATTAAAAGTATTAGGAAAATAATCATGAAAAAAAAATTAAAAGGTATCATTCTTTTTTTGGGGGCATTTAGGCCATTTAAAGCAAACTCACACACACAACGCATACACATAGACTCAAACCCTGAACCTCTTAGTTGGAAGCCTAAACTCTCAACCAATAGGCCAAGGAGAGTTGTGTAAAAAGTATCATTCAAGTGAATAACGCAAAACAGGTCCACGTTTGGCATGAAAAATGCAAACAAGGCATGTGTTTTCCATGCAAAATGCAAAGTGGGCAAGACAGGCTTGCGTTCAACATGCAATCTGAAAAAAAAAACTAAAATATGTTTTATAAGAAAAGTTTAGTGCATTCAAGATCAGTTTAGAGTGTATTGTAATTGAAATATGTATTTTTCATTTTATTGAGTCTGAGAGAGTGTGATTGTAATTGAATAACTGAGCACACACACACACCGGGGGAGAGTTTTAAAATTCATATTTTTAAAATGATCGTACAGTATGATATTACTTTATACGGGATGATCTGGTCAGTTATTTTCCCCAACAAGCAATGGAACGAACAGAAATGTCAAAAACTTTTCTAAGTATAGTTCGTACGTACGAAATTTTTGAATCGCACTAGGATGAAGGTCTTTGTTTTGTCCAAATACGAAGATCATACGGGATGATATTTTTTATCGTACCGGGACGAAGGCCTCTATTTTGTCCTCGAACGAAGATCGTATGGGACGAAATTTTGGATCGTACCGGGACGAAAGCCTCTGTTTTGGCCAAATATGAAGATCGTATGGGATGATATTTTTAATCATACCGGGGCAAAGTCTCGGTTCTTGTTTTGTTCATTTCGTCTCGACATTTCATGCATACAAACTTTAAAAATTTTCTGTTCGTACCGAACGATGATCGGGTAAGAAATGATTTCGTATCAATTCACAATGGGTTTATACGCAACAGTATTTGAACTATTCGTACATATGAACATACGATCGGACAGTACAATCGTGTACATTCAAAATTAAAAACTTCAGTTTTTTGGACGGTTTTTCGTGTCTTTTGTATAGAAGGTCCACTAAAACTTACGTGTGAACAATCTATCTATCATCTTGTCTTCGTGAGTCTTCAAGGGCAATTGTAAGAGAGAGTGTGAGAGAATGTTTGAGTGAGATTTCTTGTAAGTGGAGTGTGAAAGGGTTCACAATGTTACTCAAAGGTAAGAATCTCTACGTAATTGTTTGTTATCACTCTTCCTCTTGTCTTTCTAGATTGCTCGTGAGAAGATCTTCAGATAGATCCGGTTCTCTGCCGACACTTGAGAAGTATGAAAAGATGAAGATTCTCTGCCTACATTTGGAGAGTGTGAATAGCCGAAGGTACTCTGCCTATACTTAGAGGATGTAAAAGGATGAAGGTTCTCTGCCTACACTTGGAGAGTGTGAAAATCCGACGGTTCTCTATCGCACCGAGGATTGGTGGAAGAGAGTTTTGTAAAGGCTTCTCCACCTTATTGTGGGGGCAAATGAAGAAACACTTATGGTAATAGTGCAATACCTGAAGAGGGAGTCTTTAGAGAGTAGATGTAGGTCGTGTTTGATCGAACCACTATAAATTTGTGTCGTTTATTTTTTCCATTACATATTTACTTAATGCAAGTTACTTAATTGGGTGGTTGAAAATTTTGCTTTGAAAATCTCAATTAACTTACTATTAATCATGAACTGGTTTCTACTTTTTAAATCCAAGAGAAGTAACTTTTAAAAGTACCAATTCACCCCCCTTCTTGGTTAGCCTTGGGATATTAACTTAGGTTTAACAATCTATTATAGAATCAACAAGTGGTATCAGAGCATTGTTTCAAAATCATAAGTTTAGACTACTTTTTTATTAATGAGCATTGCTACATTTAGAAATCAGAACACACCAGAAGATTACTCTATAACTAGACATCCTTTGTTTGACAACATACCTTTCGATTTTTAGAAAACACGCATGTCAATATTTTTACAGTCACTAAATTATTGTATGTGGATCTTAGTTCAAGAAAGGTATACAAAACCAACTAGATTAGTTGATGGTGTTAGAGTTGAAACACCCTTTGTAGATTAGACTGTAGAATAACGTGACTTAGCACAACTTAACATAAAATATTTAAACAGTTTCTTTTGTGCATTTAAGTTAGAAACTACATACAAGTTTTCACTTGTAAAAGTGGAAAGGACATATAGGATAGACTTTGTATTACTTATGAAGGGTCCAATGAAGTAAATCAATCTAGACTAAACATCTTGTTACATGACTATGAATTATTTCGCATGAAACCCAATGAATCTATTTCCGATATGTACATAAGATTTACTCAAATTGTCACTTATTTACATGCATTGGGTAGGGAACTAATGAACGCTAAAATGGTTAAAAAAAATTTTTGTTGTTTTCCTACTATATATGATGCTAAAATAACTGCAATTATAGAGTCAAAAGATTTAAATGATTACTCTATTGACAATCTTCTTGGATCACTAATTGCTTATGAGTTAGGAGTGAGTCAAAGAAAGATTGTTGCAGGTGAACAACAGAAGGAGAAGAACATTACACTGAAAGTGGAGGAGTCGGAGAGTGATCTATCGCAACCTAAGGATAAGGATGATATATCTTTGATGAATAGACAGTTTAAAAGCTTTTTGAAGAGGAAGCAGAAGAGATGCCAACAATGAAACAGAGGTAAGTTCAATATAAATATTAAGGTTTCTAATAATGTAATTTGCTCTGAGTGCAGAAAACCTGGACATTTAAAGTCAGACTAACCAAACTTAAAAGTCCCTCCTAACAAGAAGAAGGCAGAGGAGAAATCAAAAGAGAAGAAGGGTAAGAAGAGATTCCAAAGAGCTTTTTGGGCGAACTCGGCTTCGGATTCATCAGAAACTGAAAACGAAGAGGAAGTCACCAACTTGTGCTTGATGGCCGATAATCTTGATCAGTTAGATCAAGAAGAGGTATGTAACTTAACCTATGCTGAACTATTAGAAGTTTCTGAAAGGATACATAATGCATATAGGAAGCTAAAGAAAACACATGTTAGTCTAAATTTGGAATTACAAGAACTGCAGAGAGAACACGAAATCCTTAGAAAAGATCATGCATTAATTAATAACAACCACATGATCTTACTTGATGAATTTGATAACTTGAATAAAAAGAATGAGATTTTGAAAACATCCTATGTAAAATTGGAAAAAGAATTTAAGAAATTTATGGACAAATCAAAAAATAAAGAATATTATTTGAAATATAGTAATAATGTGTTAGAAGATATGAACACATTTTTGAAATTGAAAGTGGAGGCTCTTGAGAAAAATAGGAAACCACCAACACTTGAAGATCTTATAATTTTTATTTTATATCCAAAATTTATACAACCCAGGAAGAGACAGTAATTATAGAAAATTAAGAAATCCATTTTCTAGAGTTAAGTGTTATTCTTGTGGGATGATTGGACATATAGCACACACCTGTAATTTGGATAGGAAAACTCATTTGATGTGAAAACCTAAGATGCATAAACCTAAATATATCATACATGCATCTAGTTTTAATTTATCAAAAGGAGAACCCAAACTTGTTTGGGTTCTCAGGTCTAACATTTGATAGTTTTACAGGCACGCTCTTATACAAGGCCTCGTGAGAGAATTTGGTACGTGGACAACAGTTGCTCAAAGTATATGACTGAAGATACTAAGTAATTTATATTGCTGGAAGAAAGAAGTGGAGGCAGGGTTACACTTGGAGATAACACCACTAGGAAGGTGGTTAGGTATGATTGGAAATTTTGAAAAATGTTTCATTGAAAATGTGCTACTTGTAGAAGGCTTAAAGCATAATCTTTTGAGTATTAGCCACCTATGTGATAAAAAATACAGTGTAAAATTTTTTCCTACTAGGTGCATATTAAGCCTAAATGATAATGATGTTTTGGATGGCTAATGGGTAAATAATGTTATATGCTAGATTTAAAAAATTGTATCAAAACTCCTACTACTTTTTATTTGAAAACTATTTCTAATCAGTCATGGCTATGGTATAGGAGACTTTGTCACTCTAACATGAAAAATCTAAGAAGAATTACCCAAAAGAACTTAGTGAGAGGTATGCCAAAATTAGACTGTTCTAAGGACCACCTTTACGATGCTTGTCAATTAGGAAAATAAGTGAAGTTCTCTTTTCAGTCCAATAAGAATCTTAAAACTAGTAAACCTTTGGAGGTTTTACATATGGATCTTTTTAGATCGGTTGGAACTGTAAGTCTATGAGGGAAGGTATATGGATTTGTTATTGTAGATGATTTTCAAGATTCACTTGGGTTAAATTCTTATATCATAAGAGTGAATCATTTGAGGAATTTAGAGATTTTTCAACTTGGATTCAGAGGAAACTAAGATGTGAGGTATTAACAATCCAAAGTGATCACGACAATGAATTTGAAAATGAAAAATTTGAGGATTATTATAAAGAGAAATAAATTGATTACAATTTTTCTGCACCAAGGATCCCTCAGCAGAATGAGCATCTCATCACTTATAAAAATGGTTATAATACAACCTAGATTGATTATTTTCTTAAAAGAAAATTAGATCGCTTAGATTATAAAGATTGTAAAGTTATTCATAGTGAAAATTTATACACCCAACATCGATTATTAGTTTTGGACTTTAAGATAAAGGGGCAAAAAATAAAAAATAAAATAAAATGATATTCTAGAATTAGATTGGGGCATTTAAAGAATATTAATAAAAATATTTTTGAGCATAAAATTTTATATCGTAAGATCTTATCTGTGCATAAAGATGCTAATGTTATATGGGAAAAAGTGACTAGTGATATTAAGAATATTGAAAAAGATGTACTTGGAGTATCAAAGGGAAAAACTTCTAATAGTAAAAATAATTGGCAGTGGA